TTGCTTTATGAGATTGTGAGGACCATCTAAGTAAAGTTTTTAAATCCCTTCTCTCCACACACCCACCCACCAGAGTGTCTCCTCATGAGATTTCTGAACCCCAGCGATAAAGAGGGTTATATGTGTTTTTTGTATGTCTGCCTGGGATAGGCTAAGCCTGGCCTGGCTTGTCAGTCCTGGTAATTTCTCTGCCTTGTAACATTTTAGACTCATATTTCCTATCGACCAAGTATTTTATGCTGCAATGTGGCATCATAAAGGAGCAATTAAAAAAATGTCTGTTGACCTTTTAATTTTTCCTAACTTTAACCACTATTTGTCTCAAGGAAACCTGGTTATTAAATAAAAAATAAACATGCAAAATTCCATCCCTTAAGGGAAAAGGTCTTTTTTATTCTTTCTATCAGTCACCTGACAGAAAAACTTTGGTAGGTTTAAGGATGATTATAACCAATGCTAGAAAAATATCTCTGAGTTGCCTGGTCCATATAATAAGAATATAATCCTACAGGACTAATTTTAGTTTCCTATTAAGTCAAGTTTCATTTATGTAATACCTATATTTCACTTAATTAGGCCACAATCATTTAAAAAATAGTTTTGGCTTCATAATGAGTCAGTTCAATATGCCCAATGCCAAAATATCTCTTAATATTTTTCATGCTAGTCTTTTTTTTTTTTTTACTTCTGGAACCATTTTGGTAATTATTTGAAAATTAGATTTTTCAAGCATTCATGAATGGGATTATTTGAATGCTCATATTGGGACTATTTTGTCAGGACATTTTCTGTGGGAAATTTGAGGGGATATGTGAGAGAAATTCATTCATTTATTCAGCAAATCTTCGTTGAGAATCTGGCATTTGCAGGCACTATTCTGGTCCTGAGGATATGGGGGCTCAGGATGAAGGAATCAGACAAGATTCCTGCTCTCAAGAAGCTGATTGATAGTCAAGTGGTAAAGAGGGCAGTTGAGAAGCAATTTCAATAAAGTGCTAACATTGCCCTGACAGAGGAGGCACAGCATGCTATTAGAATACACAAATCAAGAGAGAAAATATTTACCCAACAGACCTCTTACAGTGAAAACAGCAGCCTTTGCAATAATTCTAGACTGTGTTGAAAAGAGTTGTTTTATCTTTGAGCATTTTTATGCTTCTCAAGATCTCAAGATTATTCTTACAGGATGGACAATTAGACTATTAAATGAAAAATTTTGTAGGTGTAAATAAATGCTGAGATTATAGTGAGAGTCTCAGCATTTCCCTGATTAAGTGCAGGAGGTATAGAAATTAAACTTCTTTTAAGGGAAGTTTCCATTTAATGGCAAAGTACTTATGTTAGAGTGTTTTTAATGGCAATCTGATCTTCAGGTTGGAAATTTGCTATTGATCTACTTTCAACTTCTTTGACTCTTCATCATATAATTCCAATTTAATGTTAAGCTGATCCATTTAATTTTGTATTTTAATCATTGCTTTCATTTTCCTGTTGCATTCATTTTTTATAATTTATATTTTTGGGCTCCCTCTATTTATTTATTCATTGTGCATATATTTTCCTTTATGTCCTTGAACAGATTTTATATTTGTAATAGTTGCTTTAAAGTCCTTGTCTGGTAATTGTGAGGTCCAGGACATCTTTGCATGGATTCCTATTGCCTATTTTTATTTTTAGTATAGCTCACATTTTCCTGTTTCTTTACGTTTACTTATTTTTGTCAACATATTGGATGTTAGGAATGATATGTTGTAGAGACTGAATTTTGTTAAGTTTTTTTCTGAAGAGTGAGTTTGATCTTGCAGGCAGTAAACCTTGAAGGATTGAAACTCCAGTTTCTCTTTTACAGTGAGCAGTTCCTTATATTTCTGTTTAGTTCTTTCAGCTTCTTTCTGCTGCCATTGTACTGAACCTCCCCCGGTTGTGCATGGTTTGGTGGTCAGCAAGAATTTGGGTGAATTTTATAAGAAGATTTTGTGGATACCTCTTTAGTCCAGGGTTTTCTGACTGCTTGTGAAAGCAGTTCCTTATATTTCTGTTTAGTTCTTTCAGCTTCTTTCTGCTGCCATTGTACTGAATCTCCCCCGATTGTGCATGGTTTGGTGGTCAGCAAGAATTTGGATGAATTTTATAAGAAGATTTTGTGGATACCTCTTTAGTCCAGGGTTTTCTGACTGCTTGTGAGCCCTGAAGTGTATCCTCTGACCATTCAAGCCAGCATGGCAGCTGCTTCCTTTTACTTGAATTGAAGGCAGATTGGGCAGGGTATATGCTCTGAAGCAAAGGGCTGTGATTTACCAATCATGCCAGGTGCTATTTGACTTCCCAGAGCAATCGACTCTCCAATTTCTCTCTGCCTTTGGTCCATCTCAAATGCCTTTCAATAGACCCTTAAAAGTATTTCTTTCCCCAAATTTTATAATAGTTATCCATGTGAGAATTAGTCCATCTAACTACTCTGTTATAACTTTCCAAAGCAGAAAAACTAAAAAGAAAATTGAAACTTAAAAAGGTGATGCCAAAACTAAAGGCCACTCATTTAGATATAGGGCAGCTATACAGAGTTTGGGTGAGATTATCACTTGCCTAATCTGGACACTTGATTTCTAGTAACACAAGCTAATTTTCTGTTAGATGCTTTTACCAGATGTCATGTTCTTGGCTCATGCTATGTTTATGGTCCTTCAAAGCATCTAGATTATTTTTCTCTAAATTTTTCCAAGTCTAGGCTACAGAAAATGACAGGAAATAAAAGAAGAAAAAAGCATGAATGCCTGTTGGTCTTTCATTCAGCAGATGATCACACTTCTTTTTTTCTAATGTCACTTCAGCAGTTCCTATCAGACACAAGGGTGAAAGTAAAGCACAATCATCATGAAATTTCGCAATTAAAACTTATTTTAAAAATCAGAATTTTAAAAATCTTTAATCACCAGGGAGTGATGCGAATCACTTCAATACAAAACAAACAAAGCATGGTTTTACAATTAATGATTGTGATTGTGTGACTTCTCAAAACAGTCTGCAAGCCTATAAATAGCCAGACTATACATTAATTTCCTCAGATAAAAAAAAATACAAAAAAAATGTTAGAGGCTCATTGTTTTATTCTGAAGAGATAATTCCATTGTTATATTTTTCGTTACAATTTAACTTTCCTGTGGACAGGCTTGGAGTAAGTAGATTAGTAGTGCATCTTGTTTGATAGAATGAAATTGGAATGGTATTTTATGTTTTTTTTTCTGATTCTTAGAATAGTGTTTTGATTCATTTGCATATCATTAAAACAAATATTTTTATATGACCTTGACCCTTTTGTATTGAGAATTTCAACTCATTTAAATTTAAATTTTTGATTGGTGACAGAGTGTTTATAGTCATTTTAAGGTCATTAATTATTACTACAGTATGCAAATGACATGAACAATCTATCAAATTTTTGTTTATTTTAATTGTTTCTTTTATATAACAGAAATAAATTTTACTACAACCTAGTCTTTAAAGACATGTGTGTAACTGTAACTAATTTCAAAGGACAGTCACACAACCAAAGATGCAGAAGAAACTTAAGGTATGTTTAATAAGGAAAGTTAAATCAAGGAAAAAAAAATAATAAGAAACCACAGAAAGCAGGTACATTAGGCTTTTTTGCTGTTGTTTTAAAGACTATGCAGTACTTCAAGACATAGTGAGTTCCTAAAAATCAGAACTAAGCCTGGGAGGAAAAATGGAAAGG